CACACTACAGCACTTGCTCGATTTATTTTTTTTTTTTTTAACTACATCAGGTGCTGTGCTGGCAAACAGATCTTTTCTACACATGGTGAGGTTGTTGCTTCTTTTGGAAGGTATCTTGCAACAGCCTGTGTGCTGCGGTGCTGTCAGAAACATCTGCTTCATAATAAAGATTTATGTGCTGTACACGTAAGGCAACCCTGCCAGTCCCAGATAGTTTGTGTGCTCTGCTAATACAGTGAATAACTCTTCAGAACCGTAACATTCAAAGTTCACGCTTGTCTCTTTCCATTTGTCCTTTTGGTGTGGTATCTGTGTTTCCTGTTTCTTAGCCAGTTATTTCAGAGCTAATGAACTTATTTTAAATGAGTGCAGATTTTTTTCCCTCCAGTATTCCATTTCTTCTCTCCTATGCAAACAGAGGTCTACAAAACTGCATTGGTTTGCTTCTGAACCTGGCAGACACAGGGAAATGCCCCGTGATTTCCTTGGTGCGTGTATCCTGATAGCTATTACTACTCTGCAATATATTTTTAAAATTTGTAATTTGATTAGATAGTGAATACCTAGTTAAGGTTTAGGGTTGTTTTTTCTTTCATTAATACTTAAAATGTTTGACTGGGAACCAAAAGCATTAAATGAGTATGTCATGGGGAATTGTCCTTGAATAGTCCCTGTAAAAAACATGCCTGAGGGTCAAACTCTGCTTTCTGTCATATGGAGATAAATTGAGAGAAACTCTTGTGAACTGAATAGCAGTAGCTCACATTAAAGTCACCATAGCGATAGTAGGAAAAAAAAAAATCTTATAATGGATGTTGCTATCAAAATCTTAACTTTTTTTTTTTCCTTTCTGACACACAGTAATGTTTTTCCTGCTCATTCCAGTTTTACCATTTCCAAAATATAAGGCTTCCTGGTAAAGAATGAGTCCAAAAAAAGTGTCTTTATTGGGGCCTTGCTTAAGTAAGGACTGCAGGTGGCTTTTAAGTAACTACAAAATGAGAAAGTTAAACTATAACAGCCAACTTGTGGAAGAAAAAGCAGGCACAAAAAAACCATCTAGATGAGGTAGTGATGGAGATTTGTTCTACTACAGATTTGTTAGTATTTATCTGACTCAGTGTTTCACAATGTGGCAGTGTGCTTGGTGTTTGAAGGGACCTCTGGAGGTCAGCTTGCCCAACTGCCCCCTGCTCAAGCAGGGCCACCTTGAGTGAGGTGCCCAGGACTGAAACATGTTGCCAGAAAGATGTCAAACTGAGCTACCTGACAACTTTTAGGAAATACGAGATCATATGCAATTTTGTTTTTGTGAAGCTGCATTTATAGGGCACAGATGTCTTTCTTCCATCCATACTGTCAAGCAATAAAAATTTGGATGATCAAAAAGTTATATTAAATAAAAATAAAGTAAAGAAACAAAAAAAAAAAAACCACTCCAAACTTTTAATTTTTTTTTACCTGTGTGATTTCCTTCTCGTTTTGTGTTGGTTTCTGAGCCTTTAAGGTATAATTGGGTCATACTTTCCGGTTTTCTCAGTGCAATCCCCAAATTGCAAAAATTCTATTGACATAAAAGGGAATTGGTATTTCCTCTGTCACCTTTTCTGGAGTAGGGGGGTTTGAGGTTCTCAAGTGATCCACTGATTACAGCCATGGGGGCTAAATGAAATACCGTCGTACAGATGGATAGCACTTTTTGTAAGCATACAGAGAACCCACCAATATAGGATAGATATTGTAGGACACTTTATTTGTTGTGTTTGTGGGTGGGTTTTTTTGTTTTTGTTTTTTTTTTTCAGGAGATCCCGAAATAGACTACTTGAATTAGTGACAAAGTCTTCAGAAGTACTTGGTGTTTCTTCAGAAAGACTATGCAAATCCCATGTTTACCATTTACAATCAAACTGTTAGGATTCAAAGGTGTAAATTAGGTAGCCAGTGTGGTAATAGTGAATAAGTTCCTGATTTTACATGGCTTTATAATAATAATTGTAAACCATGGTTTGACTTAAGTAATATCTTAATTCATACCAGTTCTGAAAATAAGCACGATACATTCACTCCCTTACATGCACGAACACAATTTGGTATATTGTGCAGACTCTACTACTAACATTATCAGGTCTAAAAAAGCTTAGGAGAGAAATAGATGTGATTGTTCTTCGTTCAGGATTCACATGAGAAGAATTCACTGTATCTGCTGTATTACTGTAATTATATACTGTATTAGTATATCGTCAGTATACTGCATCTTACTCAAAATTGCATATTATTTTTTTCCATTTTCAAGCAGTTGATTCACCTGCAAATTCATAAACTAATGTGACACATTTCCCCTGAATAACCACACTATCTCTGCTTCCTTTTAGCAAATGCATTATACAGTTACAGGGAACTTTGAAGTTGTGAATGTGGAACTTGCACTGACTTCCATCAGAGGACCAGACCCAAATCTTTGCAGAGTCAACCTCTTCTCTACCCAAATAATTAGAGCATTTGGTTCCACTTACTGGTTTTTAAACATTGTTTGCTATCTGCATTCTACTAATAATACATCTTTGCCACAGATGTTAGAAAATACAGTAAACAGTATTGAAGAAAAAAAACCACAAACTTGTAAATATCAATGGGGTCTGATACTGTCTTAAAATAGTTTACGCTTCTTTCAACTAAATACCCTTTTCTCACTTGACAAGCTTCCCTCCAGATTAGTGGTGACTGGGAGTAAAGGATCTTCTCCTGGCACTCATAGAACTGGGGTGCTCCGTGATTCTCTGCATGTTCACCCAGGCAAATTTCTTTTCACAACTGTGGAGATTAATCACCTACTCGGCATGTTGATTAATTTTCTGATCAGGCACATACCAGATCAGTAGCTTAGGCTCATGGCTTGATCTCATGCTTCTCCTATTCTCTTCTGACATGTGTAAACGTTTTATAAATAGTAAATGAAGTGAAAATGAGATTAAAAAATGGAAATAATGCTATGAAGTATGAAAACCATGTTGTTGTTTAAATAAGTTAGTAGTGGGAGGAGATACTTTACCAAGCTTTTTTTCTCTCTGATTTTTGATTGTGTTTTTTTCCTCTGCATTTTAAAATCATAGTTATTTATTACACTCGGTATAGAATTTATTAGATGCTCAGCAGATAGTTTGTAAGTATGGACTTGACAGCGATAGTATAATTGCAGCAGCTTTGTTTGTGTGTTAGAATGTAAGCCCAGAAAAAATAATATTCCTCATCTGCTCTTGTCCAAGCAGACTGTTTGAGGGAATGGATCTTGGTTTCTGGCTGTGCAGGCACGCTGCTCGTTAATGAGAGCAAAGGCAGAACAACCCACCTCGGAATCCATTAATGGGGCTCTGTAGCCTTGCTGTTTATGAGCAAACATCGCTAATGACCCATTAGGTTAGAAGGCTCTGCAGAGAGCTGTGCTGCTCTGGGCTTGCCAAAAAGGCAGATCCTACAGCCTCCACAGAGCGTGGACGTACAGCTGATGGACAAAGGTTTCTTGAATTCTCAGAAGCTCTGGACCTCGGGCCGGTGTGTTTTGTTGCTTTGTCGCAAAAATGCAAATTGTGAGCAGAAGTGGGAGTCCTTAAAATTCATATAGAAAGCAAAGTGGGAGAGCTGCTGTCTCTTCATATTGTATTTTTAACAGTTCATTACAAATCTTTCGTGCAGATCTGACAGTGAATTGCAATGGACGGTAATTATGGCATGAATATGTGCTGGATTGTGATTTGAAATTCATTGCTAATTAGCTAACGTGCATATCTGGGTGCTATAACAACAAAATGGTGTCTCGTTTATGCATCTGGTTTAATTTTCCATTCTGAAATAAGATAAAACTAGGGTTTTTATTTGAAATTTGTATGGACATTTTCATGTGCAAAGTCACTGACTTCCGTAAATTCTACCTTCGGGTTTCTTCATAATCGGTCCATTAATGTCAGTGGAAGCTTTATGTCATAAACTGTCGGTCTCTGGACATGAGCATCTCCTACCAGTACTGCTGCTAGCAGCTCCTTCAGCACAAAGTAGAAGGTTTGTGGTCCCTCGTGGAAACATGGCATGAGAGAGCAGATTACTGCTTTTCAAAACCAACTGTGGCATTAGCAACCCCTCAGTTGGATGATAGCAGCAGATGAGTCCTAGCTCAGTTCTTGAGGCTGTCGGTTGCCCTTCTGGCATCGGTGGGGCTTAAACCTTCCAGGTTTAGGCGTGGGAGTGGTGCAGGCTGGAGTGTTATTTATTGACAGCTACGTGGCATTGGGAGTCATGAGATGGTTCTTAAAATTTGCTTTTTTTGTGCAAGGTGAGGTGACACGAAATGTGCTGCTTTGTGCGTCAGGTGAGAATGTTGAGCTTTTAACCAGTGGGGTTTGGCTTTTAAAAAGTAGATAGATAAATAAATATAGGGATGGGTTTAACTTGGTGAACTGATTGATATTCTGTGATTGTTCTGGAGTAATTTCCTCAGTTAATGGTGATGAGATAATATTCTGTTTAAGCAAAACGCCATCAGTCCCTCCCATTACTGGGTTTGTTTATTAGGAGTGAGGAAACTCTTGGCTTTATTATTGAACTTCCTATCAGTTTTTCCTTACTTTTAAAGGTGTCTAGGCTTCGCTAAGTGGCAGTGTTGCCAGAGGTCACCGCTACTGAAGGAAGCAAATTAACATACAGTATGTTAATTTGTTTTCCCTGTCCTTCAGTCCCGGTGAGGAGAGTATAAATATTTCAGTGACTGAGACACTGTGGATTCCCGCTCCTTGCTCCACAACAACAACAAAAGCTATTTCTGGCAATAACAGTTAGCAGCGATCTGGCAGCCTCAGGCAGCTATAGGCAGCGTCTCACCAAGACCGCAAATGTTAACTGCTTTTTGCCCTGAATGCCTCTGTGAAAACAAAGAGCACTGAGAAAATAAAAGATCAAAAGCGAAACCAAAAGAAAGATTTTTTTACTGCTATGTTTTACTTTGCTGGCAGACCAGAGCAAAGGTTTTCTGAACATTTAAAAGATGAAAAAGGTGAAGAATCCCAGAAGCGATTTATCTTGAAGCGAGATAACTCTAGTATTGATAAAGAAGACAATCAGGTTGGTTCTCGGTTCGAGAGTTGCTGCAATTTTGTTCTGTTTTTGAAGGTGGGCTGACTGATGTTATTGTTGTTCTTTTGTTGTTGCTCTCCTCCTCTACCTCCTCCTTCCCTGCCCTTCTGCGCCCATCCCTGCCTCCTCTGGCGTCCGAACCCCCGTGGGTAGCATCCAGCCCCGGCGTGGCTGCTTCAGCCGTGGCAGTGTGTGGGGTTTGCATGGGTGGTTTGCTTGGCGCAGGACTTGCTGCATGCCCACGGGAGGGGGAATGCCGGTGGCTCCGGGCTGTGTGGGAGGCTGTTGTCAGTCACATTTCTCAATGTCTTGCCTTAACTACAGCAGTTGTTCTGCTACCCTATGGCTTTGCTCTTCCGTTGTACCCATTCAGAGCTTGGATTTCAGTATGGACTGTTGATAAACTGATGTAGCCCAAAAAAAGGAGAGAGGAAAAAAAATAATAATTTAAAAAAACCCACCCCGAACAAACATGTGATGGTGAGGCCAGGTTGATTTTCTTTCAAATCATCCTAAATTAAATTTTTGACCAAAAAAAAAATCAGGTTCATCTTTTAGTTCCCTCCCTCCTGTGCCCTCACCACCTTTTACTGTCTGTGCAACTTGCTTGTCGTGCATGTCCTGTGGCAGACCCCCCCTCTGTGTTGCCTGTGCCGTAACACTACTTTAGGTGAGCCCCATACGTAGGGGAGCAGCAGGGAAATGTGTGTGTTTGTGCTGCCTTTAAAAAGCGGATGTTGTGCTGTTTCAATCCAACGCAAGCTGTGTATGTGGAATATCTTAACAAAAAAAAAAAATCAAAAAAGAGTTCTGATGTGAATTGCTTGTATGAGAAAATTCTCCCAGGTAAGAGGACAGCGTCTGCTTTCTTTGCTCAGGTTATATTTGTGGAGGGACCTGCCAGTGAGTCTCTCATTGCCGCTCTCCTTCATGTTTTCAGTAAAAGACTGATTTTTTTTTTTCCTTTTTTCTTCTTTTTTCCCCGACTTTCAATTGTACATAGCAGCAGCCTTGCCAGTTGTGCTGCATCTGAGTTGGCTTCAAAAGCAAAACCTGAGCATTTTCAGGGTGTGATGGACATGGGGATCAGCCAAAGGAAAGCAGCAGGACCTAACTCACCAGGTGCTGGGATGCAGGGGGAGAAGGAGCAGTGCTGGAAACCCAATTGCCAATTAAGTTTTTCTTGCTGGAGGTCCTCTTATCCTCTCCTGCCTCCCACGACACAGCCATTTCCTGCCCTGGAGAGGCACAAATAGCCAATCTTTTCCAAGCAAAACTGAAGTTGAGGGTTCCTTTGTGGTGTGGAAATGGTAAAAAACTGTTGTGCCAAATATCTGGGACTTCTCCTCCTCGTACACGTAGACTTTGGTAGGTTTCTTCTAGGGCTTGCAGCTTAGCTCTTGCCGCCTAGTTTCCCTCTTTTCTTCCTCAATTTTGTGCTCCTCACAGCTGGTAGGAGAGTCGAGAAATCTTAGCAGTCGAGAGCAATGACACTTAGGTTTGGGGTGACAACACCCAGTTTTAGGATGGTGGATCCACCAAAGCCGTGCAGAAAGCCTTGTTTCGGCCACTCAAGCCCGCGTGTGGTATCTGAGTGGAAACCCTTGGGAGCCCAGCCTGGCCGGGTGCTTGGTGCAGGAATGACAGCTATCATTTTCATGCCTTATTTGTTTAAAGTGAACATTTATTATTCTCAGCTGACAGTTACTTAACGGCAGTTTTTGACAGCTCAACTTATATAACCCTCCTGGTTTTCTTTCTGCTCAGCAAAACAGAATTCTTCCATTTAGAGATGACAGACGAAGTAAATCAATTGAAGAGAGAGAAGAGGAGTATCAGAGAGTGAGGGAGAGAATATTTGCACAAGATGTGAGTAGTTGTTTTAATTGCCTCTTTAGTGCCATACCCTCACCGGTAGTCAGACAGTCTTTGCCCCCCTCCGACACGAACACCGCAACTGGATTTGCCCCACGGAGCTGGAGGCAACAGGGAAGGGCCAAGAGGAGCTTGAGAGGTGTGGAGGTTGGCTTCTGAAGGAGGAGGCGGTGAGAGATGCAGGGAGAAGGGTAGAGGAGAGACCAGGCCTAGCATGTTGTCTGGGGAGTGCTGATCCCGTTTCTTTGAATGTCTATGTTTGTGTGGTGTAGGCTTCCTTCTTCTTTTCCTTCTCTTTTGCCAACCAAAGAGCAGTGATTTAAATGGACACTCTCAATAATTTCAAGTAGCTGTGTTATTTCATAGCCATAGATGGATCAAATTTTCTAAGTGTCCTTCTGCAGAGCCTTCTCTTGCTTTTGGTTCTTTCAACCAGTGCAGTAGCATTAAGAGAATAGGAACAAAGAAAATCCAGAGGTTAAACGTGGAGTTGAATGGATTTTTTGAAATGACCGATTAAGGAGCTGTATTCTGCCATCAGAAAGAGTCAGTTGATGATTTTATTCTGAAAATAAATAAAATTAAATAGTCATTATTATTCCCGACTTTACCAAAAAATCAGAACTCACACAGCAAGCTGTGTTGCTGGAGGAAAACACTTAAATACGAAACATCTGTGAGCAATATCTCATGTTCCTGAAAAAGGAAGAAAATTGTAATTTGCTGTAATACTGTAATGATGGGGTCCTAAAAGGAAAAAAAACAAAGTCAACATATTACTGTTTTATCTCACATCTCAGTGGAAGCTTTGCCACTTAGAGGAATATGGGAATAAACCAAATTAAACCTATTACTGAAAATCATATTTGGCAGTGTCCTTTTAAATTAAAGCTGTTCCTATGTTGCGGGGCCAATAGCTCTGGTTTTGGAGTTGCACACATCCAAGTTATTTTTCTTTAGCAGAATACATTGTATAGTTTCAAGGTGTGTGTTGTCTCATTTGTGATAAGTAATTTTGCTTGTTAATAATTAGCTTGCAACATCTAAATATTTTTAGCCTGGCATTTTCTCTCTTGACTGAGACAATTCTAGTAAATGCAGAGGCCCTTTGCTTTACATTTTGCTTTCAGCACATGGGTCTGATGTAAATACCATTGCAGTATATATGGTAGAGTTACAGAGTTGTTCGAGGACTGCCAAAGCCTTTTTGCAACCTGTCTCCTATATGAAAGTAACTGTTTCTGGCTTACTACAAAGGAGCTTGTACTAAACAAACAAGTTGGGTTTTGAAGCAGACTTCAAATGAGGCAAAACGTTGTTTAGAAATACCTTATGGAAAGTTTTTTGCCAAAAATAATGTAGCTTCTATCCCAAACAGCAGTTAGAAATGCCAGGCTGGCAAACAGGTGGCTGGAAAAGTCTGCTGAGAAGTGCATTGAAACACGATGCGCTGCTCTTCTTATCTCTAGACACTTGTGTTTTAAAGACAAGCAAGCGGAGCGTTTGAATTGCTTGCTGCAGGAGGTGGTTGTGGTCTATTGGGTTAGCATCTCCGAGCAGCAAGGCTGAAGTGACAGCATGGTTTGTGGCAGGCATTTGGAATGGATTGGGAGTGAGCATCTTTAAAGATCAGCAATGTTAGATATCTCTCCCTCTTTCTCTCATATCCACTCATTTGCTCTCTCTGCCTGCTCTTGCAGGTGTCAGTGAGCATCGTAGTGCAGGGAATTTCAGCAAGCTGGACTAGCAGTGTTAACAGGAATACATATCTTAATGGAGCTTTCTTGAGTGCAGCACTCCTCACAGTGCTGAGGTGTTTTTAGGATAATGTTCAGTGGTTGTGGTGGTGGACAATGTTGGTTTTTTCCAATTTTAGGAAAGAGAGCAATGGCTTCCTATTGTAGCTAGCCATTTACTGCATGTAGGACTTGATAGTTTGAAAGCCCTCTGCAATCATTAATTAATGCAGTTCTTCCCAGGTTTCTCTGAGGTAGGTACCTAAGCCTTGTCATAGAATCATGGAATGGTTTGGGTTGGAAGGGACCTTAAAGATCATCAATCTTTAAGGCAAGGGCAGGAACACCTTCCACTAGACCAGGTTGCTCAAAGCCTCATCCAACCTGGTCATCCTGCCAATTATAGATGTAGAGACAGGGAAGGATTCATCATGTGGTATTTTTATTAACTCCACACTGTTTACGCTGCTGTAGTTAAGCTTTTATCAGTGCCTTGCATATGAACCTTAGCAAATGGATTATAGATCCTTCACTTTGAATTAAGAGTATGTATGGAGAGGGCTTGCGTGAGAGCTCTCCAAAGGGTAGCCACAAAGGTTAAGAGTCCTGCCAGAACTTGTTGCACCTAGCACCCCTCTCTAAACACGTTTGAGGTACCCAAAACTCTTTGGATAACATATCAGCCCATTAGTCAGAACTCTAACAAAGAGTTTAACTTGCTCTTTCTTTGATTTTGCAGCATTCTAGCCCACCAGATATCTTCATTTAAGTGGGAAGGTTTTAACAAAATTAGTATGTTCATGAATAATGCTGCCGTTATGATAGTTCTTATGATGGTTAGTCTGATATTAGTTTAAATTATACTTTCTGGCAAGTTTTCTATCTGCTGTGTTGGCTATCATAAATTTTTACAAGCTGGAGGTTTTAATGATTGCTGTCATGTGTAGAGTCATAGCAAGTGGCAGGGATTGAAAAACATGTTAATGTGATATCTTAATAAAAGGATTAGTGAAGAAAAAAAAATAGTTAACAAACATGTGATAACGCCAGCTCACTGAAATAAGAACTGCAAATCCCACCTCAAACTTTTGAGGCTGCTAACAGTGAAACAGTGCTGCATGAGTTCTGTTATGCTCAAAGCTATTTTCAAAGTTATTTTTTTAATTGCAAAGCCTACGATCTTCCTTTTTAAAACATGTTTTTATTGGAAACTTAGTTTTACAACAATTTTTGAATTTTACAACCAAGCACAGTGGAGCAGAGGACCTGGAGTATCTGGGTCATGCAAAGAAGTAGTTTATTGGCTGAACTGCTTTAGTTGCTTTTAGCAAATTGAAAAGTAATTGTCCAAGAAAGATTAAAAAAAAATCTAAAATAATATTTTAAAAAAATATGTTATTCTTTCCCTGTGTGTTAATTCAAATTGTAGATTTAACTGAGAATCCCAAATGTGTGCATAAATGGTACACTATGTTTGGCTTTTAAGCATTGAGAAAATTGATTCTAAAGACTAGCAATCAAATTACATAGGGGAAATTTCATTCTTTGAGGTTAATGCAATGTATAACCTCATGAGCCAGAATCACATCAGGACCTTCCATTGTTCATAAGTATATTCTCTAGTAATCATTGTGTATTCACTGAAAAATGTAGATGTTTTATTACTTACACAATGGTACACATGGATCTTATTAAAGGAAATACACATGCTTTTTTTGTTGTTGTTGTAATTGTAATGGCTATTTTTGACTAAGGAGTGTATTCTGAAGAGCCAGATCCTTTAGATAAAATAAATCATGATTCCTCTATTTAAGAAAACACTGAGGATCTTTATCACTCTCTGATTAAAGAGAGTCACAAAAGAAGTAGTTGAAAAGGTGGCTTCAGCCTGTCCTATCCTTCTAGTAGGGAAGGATGAGGAGGAAGAGGGTTTAAAATTGATAAAAGCAAAACAAAGGCAAACCTTGTGTTTGCTACCATAAACCGATAGGTACTGAAACTCCCGTACTGCTATACAGAGCCTTTGATTGTGGCTTCAGAGCAAGCAATAATCATTAGTTGGAAGCCTGAGATCTATCAAGTCTTGTTAACGGACATGAAGATGATTACCTGGTGGTATCCACTGCAGGATATTGCTGCATGTTAATAATTGCCTATGGTGGCTAATGTAATTAAAAACGGGAGCAGCAACCCCCCATATACCTGATGCACTGACAGAGCTGATGCAGTCAAGACTTTAAAAGGTTCTGGGAAATTGGAAGAGAGAAATACTCGTTTCATAAATGACAATTAGTCATAGAGAGAACCCTAATGGAAACCTTGCATGCAGAGGTCTCCGAGGAGGTGAATTTGTAGGTAATCCTGCATAGGTTTTTTCGTTCTAATTTTTTTGATTTGTTGTCAGTGTCTTTGATTATCCAAGAGCCAAGTGTTTTAAGAAAGTTTTTGACAACAGCTGTGCTATGTACTGAAGCTTTCCCAGTGCTTTAAATTGAGCATTATTGATGCTATAAATCAAGAAAGTGAGTTCTGACCTTGTAGTAGCTAAACTGCTATCCAGGACTGCTTAGCCATCTAACTTTTAATAATAAGAATAACATAATAAAAAAGTGCCTGTCTTCTCTGCCCCTCAGCCTCACACCTGTACTGAAAAATAGCTTCCAGGGGTTGTGTGGCCCTGTGCCAGCATCATCAGCCAGGAGGACAAATGGGAGTTGTTACAGACTCTGTCTTTAAGTCTGTAATGCAGCTGATAGCGGTTACCATCAAAAGACACTGAAAAGGGAGCAGACCTCTCTCCACTTGCTTGATAAAATAGAAATCCTAGATATTTAGCTCCCCCTTTTCAAACCAGAAACATCCCAAATCCATGTATATCCCAAACCATTAAAATTGGACACAGCTAATGATGACGTTGCACTATTCTTTGAGCTGAGACCCGTTGTTCCAGAAGTAATGGGGTGTGATCTCCGGAGCCCTTCTCCCTTTGCCTGCCTTTTTGTTTAAATTCAGTGCAAGTCCTGACTGTCCTTTCCTCTGTACCTCATGGAGATATAATCCAGTGACAGCTACGAGGCACTGTGTATAGCGAACATGAAATAGGAGGGAAATGAAAAAAATCAGAGGGAGAATTATTCATGGGAAATTGAGCACAGCTTCGTTTCTGTGCATAAAAAATTAAGTAACATGAAAAGAATTACACACTTGCCGGTAGGATTTATTTGTTCTGAGCCCTTCACCTTTCTCAGGATCCAAGTCCTCCAGCAGAGAACCTTTTTGCAATAGACGATTATTGTTGCTAATATTATTATTAAGAGGCTTATCATCATTTTGTATCTCAATGTTGGTATGACTGTTTCCAACCGTAAAGTGTGAAATCACATAGTATTTCTAATTACTGCAATATCTTCTCTCCCTTTGAAGAACTTTGCCAATTCTGCATGCTTTCCTCCTGTTTGTCCTCCCTACCTGCAGCTCTGTGCTATTCCGCAATTTTATTTGGAGGTGGTAGGGCAGACCAGTGGAACCTTATATTATGTAGGAAAAACATTTTTCTCCCCTTCAAATTGCCAGTATTTCGCACATACTGCCGCCTTCTGATCTCAGGACTGAGAAGTTTCAGTTTGTTTCCAAGCTAAGACCCCTCATTGGCAACATGTTGTAATGCATGGAATTTATTTTACTGGCCTGACCTTATTCTTGACCTTTTTTCCTCTTGTCTTCTGCAAATGCAAATGATGCATGAATTTGAAATCCCCTTAAGCCTGAACAGGGGAGATAATTCTAAAATCGAGGAAGGAATTGGAACAGCAGAGCATATCTAGAACGTCTGATACAATGCCTTTTTTATTTTTCAGTCAGTTTGCTCCCAGGAAAACCTTTTTGTGGAAAACAGGTAAAAAATAGCTTTTTTTTTTTTTTTTTTGTGTTAAACGTAGCTGTTTCTTTCTCATTATTTTGTCTATAGTTGTTTATCCTAATGCAAAGACTACTGAGCAAGTTTGTGATCTATATTATCTGCAGTGTTTTTCTGCTTTAAGGGGGGGGGGGGGGACGGGATTTCTGGTTTAATGGGGGGGTGGAGAAGAGAGTGCCTTGCAGTATTGTATATGAGTAGATAAGCTGTTACTGCTGCTTTCCCAAGACTTTGCATTTCAGTTTAAAAAGCAAACTGGGGTGTGGTGGGGGGGAACCCACCTAATGTTTCATTTCAAAGGCTCAACATGTCTCTGGAGTGCCTTTCGAATTTAACTTACTGATCTTGTGAAAGCACTCCCAGCAGCGGCTGGATGACGGTATTTATGAAGCACTGCGCTTGTGTTTCTCTTGTTTAATCCCCTGTCCCGTGGGGCTGAGCGGCCGCACTGGCTCCTCTCGTTGCTTGTGAAGGTTCATAAGTCCCCCAGCCCAGTCCCACTTTGCTGCTGCCGCCTTGGAGTAGTGAAATGGTGATGCTGAGCCAGCTGTTACTTTGCATTACTGCGTGGATGCTTGTTTTATCATCATAAATCTTTTTAAAGCAAAGGAAAGAAGAAACTGTGCTTAACTAAGACATACAAAATATGTTAGCTCCATAGCTGCCCTAAGTGAGCTTAGCTGTGTTGCATCTCTTAGAAATTGTACACCATTCTGACAGATAGGGATTTTAACCAAAATGCGAGAATTTTGCCGGTGAGTGTTTGAGCAGCACTAGCCCAAGTCTGTCCTGTGCATGTTTTTAAAATGGTTTATCATCCCCATGACGAAGGGGAGGTTATCTTTCACAGTATTTCTGTCTCTGTCCATCTTTACATCTGTCAGTTACATGCCTGGGTAAAGCTGTTCCCATAGAAAATGACTCCCTAGTAATGGTACAAACCAGCTTTTCTCATGGACAGCCCTCAAAGTTCCTTAGGAGGTAATGGCCACTGTCACCTAACCACCTCATAATCTGAGAGCCAAGGAGATGTCCTCAGCTTCTCCTTCTGTATCATCACTGTGGAGACATGTTGTATCAAAATAAATAAGACAATGCAACAGAGGAACCCAACAAGCAAAAAGAAGATGCTCCCATAAACCTACTTTTCCCTTTCTGGAGAGAATGGGACAATAAACGTGACATAGTTGTTCCCAGTCCCAAATCAGGATGGGAAGTGCTCAGACACTGTGCTGCTGAAGGTAGGGTGGGGACCTCCTGACCAGCTTTCCAGGTGTGAGGATGTGTGCCCCAGTGAAGACCAGTAAAAGGCCAGGTTGGAAACTGGGCTGCTTTGACTGCTTGCTCTGCTGTTGTCAGGAGGGAGACTTCACCTGTGTTCCTCGTAATACTACTTTTTCTTGCTGCATGCCTTTGATCAGGCAAAGCACTTAAACTCGTGTTTAGCTCTGTGCACATGAGCAACTTTGTTGATTTGCTGTGTTGAAAGTTAGGTGTGTGTTTAAGTGCTTTGCCATTCTTTTCTATCAGAAAACCTGAGCATCTCTCTGAGCTGCAGAGGTTTCCAAGTGACTTAGCAAGTGCTTAAAATTATATATGCAGTATATTGCTGGCTTGCGTTTTTTACATGCTTATTAGGTGACATTTTTATGAATTATCTTTTGGATGTAGATGTATGGTTCCTCGGCTTCTGAGAATTACCTTGCTCGGTAACAGGAAATGCTGAATGGCCTTCAGCCTGCGTGGCTGACATTTCTGATGTTCAGTTGACTGATGGTGTTGGTGGGGGGGGGGGGGGGGGTGATTTTAGCCATGTTTTTTTTAAACTATGAATCTAGCACAAGTTAGAAAATGTTGCTAGAAATTAAATATAACTTCACAGATAAGACAAATTTGAATTGCCATGTCTGTTACCATCATCTTTCTTTTCATTTTTCAGTAGGCTGTTGGAAGACAGTAGTATATGCAATGATACCCATAAGAAAAGGCAGCTGTTTAGGTTTGTATGACTTTGTTTCATATTCATTTCCCAGTAACTCTCGCTTGTGATTCTATCCATGTCCTCACTGAGGGAGACCTTGATGGGTGCGGGTATGTAATTTTTCTGGTTGGAAAGGAGCATGGAGAACAGAGTTCCCACCCTGCTCGTCCCACTCTCTCTGAATGGGGAGGTCACAATGGGGCCCTCTTTTATGAATCATGGGCTCAGGAACCATGTCATATTTTCAGCTGCCCAGCTTCTCAAACTGCCACAATTTGGGGGTGACTGTGACTGGTAGAAGTTCATTATGCTGTAGTACCTACAACAGGCACATTTCACAGACCAGTGCCCAGACTGACCTTTTTTCCTTTTGTTGGTTTATTAAAAGCTGAAGTAAAAGTACGATGACATTGAACTGATTGAAGTTCCCCTATCTAAAGCAGCAATGTTTTGAAACTTTTTCCTCTGTGACCTTTGTCTTGCAAACTCCAGTTCCTCTGCCGAGACAACATTCAAATGTATCTGGTATCACAGATCACATCGGTAGGAGCCAGTCCATATTTTCACGGAGAACATTTTTACCAGTTGACACACTGGATCAGTGGAAGATCCAACCTGGTGGTGACAGCGTTCCTCTGAGAGGCTTAGAAAGGCTCTCTTGCCACACCCCCAGGTTCAAGTCAAATCGACCAAAGCTGAGCGTGGTACGCTGCTTTGAACGTCAATTGGCTGCCACAATCCTTAAGCAGAGCGGACAGAAATAACGAATGCTTTCAAAAGCATGTCCTTCATCCAGTAAAGCGTGAGGATAGCCAGGCAGAAGTGGGGTGACCGCTACATGTGTCAGTATACATTGAGGTTTGCATATGTAGCAGGGCTAGTTTGTCACTTCAGACCTATATCATCTATTCGATGTAATTTTTCACGATGAGGAGAAAGGATGTGGGATTATTTGATGTGTGGCTGCTGACTGCGCATGTGTGCACAGCAGCCACAGAGGAGATTGCAGGACTGCACCAGGGAAGGAGCAGTGCTGGAGCATCTGGAGCTGTGTCCTGTGGCCGCAGGATGAAAAACTTTCCTTCGTGCTTTGGGCAACCCTTGATGAGCTGAGAGTTGTTGGGCATGCAGGAGGCAGCTAAAATATCCATGCAGAGACTTAATAACTGATATCTTTCAGGTCTGGGGAACAAAAAGGAATTTAGTGTAACCCAAACCCATGGATAACAGGATAAAAAAGCATTGTGTTTCTCTTCCTCTTTTCCACTAGAATATAAATGTAAGACAATTGCTAATTTCTATGCACCAGAATGCAAAAGAGTCTGATTTCTTTTCCCAATTAAATCTTAAGGACAGTTTATTTTAAAATCTTTTTCCTTTTTTTTTCTTTTTTTTTTTTAATGTTGTTGCTTCTGTGCTGTTTCTCTTCATGCTTTCCCGGTGTCTGGGTCTATCAGAGATCAACAGGTTAATATTGCTGATCACATCTGTGTGAGGCTCTGATCACAGGCAAGGAACGCACCAGCCTCATCCCGTCCTTGACATGCTGCTCCTTCACGTCCTGAGTTCGCAGGTTCTCCAAATAAAAACCAAGAGCCATGTTCACAAGGAGAAAGGGGACCAAAAAAAAAAAAATAATACAGTCCTATCCTCTTGATTTGTAGAAAGAGCTTTGAGCCTGCATTGTATTATACTGTAAAATAGGACAGAGGGGTGGCACATGCCTTCTCAAAGCCTTCCAAAAGCCAGTGTTATCAGCATCACTTGGGATAACGGTGTGGTGCACCAAGCTGTGGTAGGCTTTCTGGTTTTGTCATTCTAGCAGCACATTGTAAGCTGTTCACCATAAATAAGCCAAATTCTCCTCTGGTTTCTGCTCACAGTTAACGGTGTTGTCACTCACAATACAGCGGGTGGTCTGGAAGTGTTCAAGGACAGACAGTCTCTACCCAGAGATGTTTGCAATTAGTGTGTGTAGAGGGGAAAAAAACCCACCAACTTGTGGGTTTCTGAAGTGGAGCGTTAGCATTGAAGAGTTTGGGATCGTGCTGGGAGGACACATGTTTAGAGGAAGGCTTTGGGTGGTTTTGCAGAGCAGATGATGAGTTGGGAACAAGGTGCAATAGAAATAGAGAGGATGGACATGAAGACAAAAGTAGAAGGTGAAGTTAGTGAGAAAAACTGTACAAGTGATGAAGAGCAAAAGGAGAGGTAGCGAGGGGTTTTCTGAGGGAAGAGACCAGTCAGCAGGCAACAGAAATGCTACGTTTGTGCTACGTAATATTGCTCCATCAGTCCTGTCCGGTGAAATGCTCGTAGGATATATACAATACGTTTTTGTTTGCGTATAAATCTTTGTTTCCTGATGTCCATAGGGGTAACAGAGACAGCTCGGGGAAGGCATCTGGCAGTCGGCAGAGCAGCACGGAGAATGAATTGAAGTGGACAGACCACCAGAGACCATGGAGCAGCACGGACTCGGACAGCTCCAATCGCAATTTGAAGCCAGCCATAACAAAGACAGCCAGTTTCGGTGGGATAACCGTCCTGACGAGAGGAGATAGCTCGTCAAGTAACAGAAGTACCGGCAAACTGTCTAAAACAGGTAGCTGGTACTGAATTGGGTTCCCAGTCCTTCTTGTTGTGTGGTGATTAAGGGCTGTGTACCGGTACCTGTCAGAGTTTGGTATATCACAGAATGGTTTGGGTTGGAAGGGACCTTCAGAAATCACCTGGTCTAACCCCCACGGTTGGACTATATGGTGAATTACAGAACAGTTGTATTCCTTTTGCATAGCAGATGTGTGCGTCCATCTACGTATGCTGGTATCTGGGTACCTGGTATTGAGGTTTTAGGAATCAAGAAGAAAACCTGGTGCCTGAGGTTTGCAAATCGTAGGTGAGGTGGGCTTTTTCTGCTATAAGGTATGTACACGTATTACTGGAACAATCTCTGCAATTGTTGTAGCCTGAAAAGATGGTAATCCTTTCAGACAAAGCACAGATTTTACCTTATTCATCTTACTCTTTTGGAATCGTGAAGAATTAAATGTCATCTATTTGATGAGAAATCCAAGAACATTTTGTTGTTGTTAAGATTCAGACCATCTGTAGAAGCACGGCCTCTCCCTCGCTGCTGGCAGATGAGGCAGTGTGCCGTAGTGGAGGCAGTCACAGAGCTTCCACAGTCTCTCCATTTTCTTGTTTAGTTCCCATTAAATTAAAGCATCATTTAAGGGGACTGCAAACCTGGTGGGAATGCTGCATTTATTTGCGTTAAGTTCACGGGTACATTAACAAAGGAGTGAGTCACGGGGTCTGGATCTAAGTAGTTTCAAGCTATGCCATTAAGCTACTCTTATATTTTTTTGTGTAAAAGTGCATAATAAATACTGAGCCCATTAGATGATGCCATCAGTTTGATTCATTTGATAAATATAGTACAGGACAAGTAGTAATCAATACTTAGCACTTACACGCTCAAGCTGAAAAAGCACTTTTATGGATGGCACTTAATTTAAACCAAGTTTATCAAACCTAGGTTGGTCAGATTTCACTTCTGTTCCCCAAACTGTACGATAGCCTTTGCTGTGATTCAAGATGCTGGGGAATTAAGTTTTCAGAATAAATCAAGAAAACCTTTGACTTTGTAACCACATTTTGGACCTCTGGATCTTGAACGTAGTTTAAAATGTTGTATTTCACAGCTGGAAAGGAATCTGTCTGGTTGGAAAGGTGCTCTTTCAAACTCTGCTGGTCTTAAAGCTGCTGGGAGTTTTTGGAAAATTGTGCCTCCTCTTCTGAATGCTTCTGTTTTATGTTTCATTTGAGGCCCTAGACAAATGTTGGATTTATTGTCTTAGGATTCATAGAATCATAGAATATCTCAAGTTGGAAGGGACCCGTAAGGATCCCAAGATAACATTCTCTTTCAGCTCTATTCTTACTTATGTGAAAACCTATGGAATTTAGACATGAATTAGGGAGGAGACACAGGTTCCTGGTATCCTTTTTTCATACCATTCACCTTCAGTAGAGTGCAAGTACGCTTATTTCTCTGCAGCATTGTATTGCAGAGGGGTAGAGCATTTTAAATGGTGTCAGGGAAATCCAGTCTGGAGGGCTGAGACATCCAATTGCAAAAGAGTAAAACTTTTAAGTAGCCATTTTAGTGTTAAAATCAAGCATATTAAAGGGTGCACTTAGAAAATGTATTAAAGGAGAGAACTCTGAAGCATGCCAATGCTTGTAAATGCATCTGCATTCCATATGCACCAAACCCAAAATTGCTTTCAAATGAAAACTCTTCTCTTATAACACATTTTTAAAGCATCAGTGGTGCTGAAAGTCCATGTTCTTTGTAGAGCAATTAGATACTCTAAGTGCTTTGACTTTTTTTTTAAGCCAAGTGGTTAAATTTGAAAGCTAGTTGAGGCACAGAAAGTGTGAAAAAGTAAAAGAGAAAAAAGAGCAAGGCTGGATGTCAAAACAAACTCACACCTTCAAAGCCAGGACACCAAGTCAAACTGTCAGTCAGCCTGGGGAAAGTCAGAGGGAATCATACCTGAATCGCTATTTCTATCCTTCTCTCTGCAATGCTATTGAATGGCATTAAAGCAGAAAAGAATGATTGTTCAAGAAAAGAATGACTGCTGAAAAAATAATGAGGAAGTTTGACTTGATAAAGTGTTCTCATTTCACCCAACGTGGAGTGCATTCATAGAGCTGTCAGAGCCCCCAGCTGCTATTTGCATGTGTTTTCTGAGGTGCATTAAGTACCAAGAAGCACTTCATTGTGCATGTTTTTTGCCTTAGATCTTCATCGTTCTGTACTCCAGCCATAGTGCTGGGCATTCCGTAGCTCGGTACACATTTAAAGCTTGATCATGTTTTTATTTAGGGTGGTTTTGTTTATTTTCTTTTGTCTTTACAGCAGTGATTGCAATGGGATTGCAGAGTTGGAGCTACAACGATTAGGCATGCTGTGCTGGTAGGGTGGCAGAGGCTGGTGGGCACCAATTCCACCCTGGGTCTCTGCTATAGAAAGTACTCTGTTCTCTAAAGTACTTTATGATTCACAGTAATACATTTAAAGTCTTTTTGTCTTGCATATAGTGTATGTGGAATCACTCTGAAGTCAGCAGTAGGTCCAAATTTCTTCACTGGCTATGTGATGGCAAGTGTTTGTGACAATTTAAAATGTGAAAACTATTCTACGTATATGACATTCATCCAGAAGCATTGTCACACATGTTTTTTGGGCATGGAAATACTAAGACCTAATGATTTTTACTGATGGCTCACAGCTGCATTTGGGAGTGATGCAATACTAGCACTGTAGCCTTTCTGAGTCATTTTTAGTATTGTCACCAAAATTAAAAGTTTTGCCCTTAATATTAACTCTTGATACATCAGTAATAAATGGTACATAGCAGACAAGCAGAAGCTGAAGAACAGAAAGATGTTAGACTCCCCTTAGGCAAAGACAGATCACAGGACGTGCTGTTCTCTGCAGTAGAGTCCATAGTGTCAATTAGTCTTAGACTTTAATTGCATTCAGCTGCACAGAAATTAGAGTTTAGCAAAGGAATTAGGTTACTTCATTCTTGCAGACTTCACAAAAGGGGCTGTTACATGGTTATCTTACTGGTTCTGATAGTTATTTTCATGCACACGTTGATTGTTTAGGAAGCCCTGCTCCACTAAAAAGCACAGTTGTATATTGCAAATAAAATTTTCTGTAAACCATTCTGTGATTCTATGATAATTCAGTATTGAATGGGAAGTTAATAGTTGAACAAATTGCAATCAGATTGCATTAATACAGCTTAGGACATCGTACAAAACCTTGGTTAATTTAGATTTCCAGTAGTATAGTGGACTTTCCAAGAATGACTAAGTATGTAGAGTGGTAAGTGAGATAGATGTCCCTGTAGGCATCAAAGATGTGCCTGTTCAGTTTCTAATACATCCATGGAGATGAACTCTAGGTTATCAGGTACCGTGTTGTTTTCACTGATGCATTACAACAGGTTTTAATATATGTTATTAGGAGGGAAGACAAGACATGTGCTCTCTGTATCTACATGTCTATTTAAATAATTGTTGTAAGACTTAAAAGATGTAACTGTTGAATCTTTGGCTTCCTCTTAATGCATTTTCCATTCAGTAGAATGCCCATCCATTGGGAGTGTATTTCTTTCCCTCTCATTTCCGAAAAGATGGCTGCACTGGGGTATCAACTGTGTTGATACAGATCTGTAGGGATCGTTAACTTCCTTGGCAGGGCTCCAAGTAATCGGAGCCACAATCTAATCTCTCCTGTTAGGTGTTCATTGCTACCCCTGTTGGGAAAAGATTATTATACTGCAGGCATTTCAATAGATTAACTTTATTTTTTTAAGTAATATAAAGTACCCTGTAAATTATAATTTTGTCTCTGAGTTTTGGAACTGGATTTCTGCTTCTTTATTATGTCCTTTAATTGAGCATTAGCCTGATGGATCTTGTGAGTCCAAGAGAAACTATAGGCAATAGATCATGAGCCAACTGCTTCCAGTCATACTCTTCCCACCAACTGACTGTGCCGAAACATAAATCTTATTTTTAGAAGTTCAACTTGTGGAGGAATAATCATGCTCAGATAAGCACATACAATTACTACAAAAAAAACCCCAAAGACTAAATACATTGTAATATACAGAAATGCAAGTGAGTTATAAAGGTAGCAAATAAATATTCCTAAGTCATGAAACTTTATCCAAGACAAAATAGTTCCGGAGGTGATCAGCACTGGACTGCTCCTAAGAAATTGACCGTCTGGAGCAAGTAATGGGTAGATCTTGAGAGTCCAGTTGATAAGAAAGAAAAAAATGACCTCAGACTTGAAAGGTGGGATGAAACAGAGATGTTCAAAGTCATCAGATACTGAATGCTGACCCAAATAAAATAGAGCAAGATGTGTTGCATCACTCGCTGGTGCTCAGGATATTGGAAAATTAATGGGACCTTCGTGCTCTCCCTCTGCAAACCCCGTAAGCTATTAAGACTTTGTGGTGATTTTTCTGTCTTTTTCTGTTACCACTCTTTGAACTGCTCTCTCTCTCTCAGAATACTTTAAAAATATCTTAATGGAAAGTGATGAGAATATAAAGGTTATTATTATGTCAACTGTGAAGCAGCAAGAAGATTACAGAAGAATCTAGAAGAAGTAGCCATCATTACATACTGAAAAAAGAGGTTGGATTGTGTAATGGGGGCAAAAATCTCATTTAGTGGAAGTTCCTTTCAGAAGTCTTTAGCAAGATACCTCTTAATGTGAATCTGAATAAAGTCAGATAGTTCTTATTTTTCTTTCTTTTTTTTTTTTTTTTTTTTTTAATTTGCTACATTACTGAACTCATTATGTGGTGATTTCTTATTCCAAATTTGGACACCGTGAAAATAGCTGATCAGAGCTACAAAGACAAGATTAATTGGTGTTAATTTCCAAACATTAGTGTTGGAATTTACTTGGTTTAATGTGTCTAGACTTAAAATGATAGGAAATAAGTTGTAGTGATGGAAAAAGTTAAAATAGATCATTCTTGTACTGGGTAAATGGGGACAAAATTGGTTAAGTAAAAATTTCTGTGATTGTTTTTTTTAATAGTTAGAAAATTCCTGAAATGGTTTTGTGTCTCTTTTGTGTTCTTTCAACTTGATTTACTGACAAAGGAGAGCAGATCTCTGATTTTTTAGGCAGATGTTTCAAAGCTAGCATCTTGGCCAGTGCGTGGTGATAGCTGCAGAAGTTGTTCTGCTGCTTCTGCCGAACATTTGATGAGTACACCTGAATTCATTGCAGTCCTTTGGCTTTTAACATCCAGAAGCTCGAGATCAATCCATGATTCTGCCATAAAAAGAGCTGAAAGGGGGAAAAAGAAAAAAGAAGCAACATGAAGCGCATGTGGAAGGAACAGAGAAATGTAGGAAAGGAGCCAGTAGCTGCTGGAGAAAGAAAATGAAACTCATAGAGTTGCATGTACATTTGGGATGAAGATGCTAAATACAGCTTGCAGCTCGATGAGGATGACCTCCAGGAATATCTCTGCAATTTGTTGAAACTCTGGAATCTGAAATGATGCAATAAATAAAACTGTCCCTGCAGGAGAAACCTTTCTAAAATTCCAACCTCAGTCCACAAGGAGGGGGGAAAAATAGAGCAACTAATACAACTTCGATGTGTATTTATAGAAATGAAAAATTTCTTCTGGAATCTCTATTGCTTTCTTAATTAGATACTGGAGAAGCAGATTTAGGGTCCTGCTGATGGCAAAGAGTGCACAGTTCATGAAGAGGACTGTCTCTGTAGTAGTTGCCATATGAATATGAAGTTTGAAGAAGATGGATAAAAATGTGTTTTACGCAGTAATCTTTGGAAAGACTCACTGTTTGTTAAGTACTGGGATGCTGATGTGAATTCTTCAGAGGAAACCAATTCTGCTCTAATTATAAGGAAATAAATGATTTCCAATACGGATTTGACTGAAAATTAAGCCAAGGCTCTGAGCAGTCTGCTGCAGGGTCCTCCTGTATTATCCCAAATATAAAGGGATGTCATTTGCCCTCTTAGAAGTTTGCTAAAACCTAAGTCTGAGTTCTGTCTTTCCTTTTAATCTGTATGTGCAGGAGAGCACTAAGGAGGGTTAGTATTTCATGAAAGATGCATAGGCAGTGTACAGAAGTAAAATAAAAGAAATTTCAATTAAAATACACTCTACCTTTGGGAGGAAGCATCCATGCAGACACTTGCTTTCACATCTCCCTTATATTTGCCTTAACATCCTTCTTTAAGGCTCAGATGAACAGCTTCCTTATGCTCTCAGAGACTCTTGTCATTTTTGCATGAAGCAAATTGAAATCTAATCAAGCAAAATCTCTGAAATTTGGAAATCATATTTTATAGTTTTTTAAAATAATGCATCTCTCCATCCTTCCAGGCGCAAATGTGTTTTAGCACATTTGATTTATCTTGATTGATCAATTTTAATAACACAGGTGCTGAAAAATCAAAGTGGCAGAAGTCTTAGGTAGCATCTTAGGTAGTTTTAAGTGAATACACATATGGCACAGCTACCTTGTTAGTTGAGTGACAACTCAGTTGCTAGTTTGTGGTTTTTTTTTTTCTTACAGAAAATATTTTGTGTTTTTTTTGTTTGGGGTTTTTTTTTTTTTTTAGTTTACAAACACCATGTTTAATTTTTATACCTTATGAAACAATACTTTGACATCATAAATACATGCAGAGCATTTTGTGTTCTGTTCGATAAAGCTATTGTAGAAATACCACCGGATGCTGAGCTCAGGAGGGAGTGGAAATCCCACTTTGCAGTCTGTGAAAGTTGTCCTCGTGTCTGAAGGGGCCTGGAGTCCCTCGTAACCTTTCCGCTGTGGTTGTGTCTCTGCGTCAGGCTCAGAGTCTTCCAGCAGCGCTGGCTCCTCAGGATCCCTGTCACGACTACATCAGCCTCTCCAAAGTGCATCTCTCATCCCTGGGGTGACAGCCAGCTCCTCAGGCAGCGTGTCCTACCCTGAGAATGGGATGAGTGGCCAGGTGGCCCCCAGCAACACCAGCTATATCATTCTTCCACTTGAAGCTGCAGGGATACCGCCGGGCAGTATCCTTCTCAACCCACACACAGGTCAGTACGATGCTCTTCAGCCTGGTACCTGCCCTTTGGTGTTTCTGATGTCAATTGGAATTGGAAAATTTCAGGAAATTTCGTGTTTCTAGAGATGTTTTCCTTGAGGTACTTTTATGAGGAAGCCAGCAGCAAATACACATAGAAGTGACATTTGGCGGGTTGTTTTTCTCGAATTTGTGGGCAAAGCTGGATTGGCTTTCTGAGGCTGTGGTGGCGGAGCTGGTGGGAAGTGATGCCAAACACACTGGTGTGGTCCCAGACAGGATATTCCATCTTGTAAAGTCCTGGCACTCTCTGGCTGTGAATCCTCTGAGATTCTGTTAGCTTCAGTAAGGACAGACCCTCTTCCATAGCAAGCTGTGGAGATCGTGCAACTGAAAAAGGATGCTTAAAGTTTTAGAGATTGTGCTTAGCAGCAGAAGAATTTCAAAAGGCTTAAAGGCTGCATTGGAATTTGCCATTCAGAGTTAATTTCCTTTTGTGATTAGCAATTGTGTTTAATTTGGAAGTTTTGTGATAAGAGAAAGTCCTAATCTCTTCAATTCTGCATCAATTCTGGTAGTTAGCAGTGCTGTCTCCCTTGAAGGAGACAGTTGAGACATTTGCAGCCACCCAAGCACTGTGGATGCTTCAGAAACCACTGAGCTTGACCTTGAGTGCTTGCTGGGAGTTTAAGGCAATTTGTTGCCTCCTTGGTCCAGACGAAGTCCGGATAATGTTTACACTCATACTCCACACAGTATTGTACTGACAGCGTTAAAAAGGTTCAGGGAGGTTGAGGCTGTGATGCTTCTCAAGTGATTTGGACTATTTCAGTGACCATGACTAGCTGTGCTGTCAACCTTAGCTGAGTTAGGTGGGGTTTAAAATAACAAAGCCTGCAGTGCAGTGTATTCACTAGGAGCTGAGAGTTGAACTCCAAAATATTTTTTTAAAGTCCTTAATAAAGCATTCAGAAGCTTTTTATTTAGGGATTTTCATTTATAACCAGAATTTTATGTATGTTACACCCCTGTGTAAAGTTTATTTGTGAGTCCACTGATAAAAATACTTCTTTTAGTCAGAATGCAGTCAAGAAAACCAAAAGTTGCAGCATTTAAGAAAAAACACAGCCTTGACAAACTATAAAACCAAATTTTCCACAGACATTTAGACATAATAGTTTCTGTGGCTGATCAGTATATATCAGCATATGTAAAATCAGGGAGAGTTCCTGTTTGTTTAGATTCAAATGCGATAAGTTCTTTCCAGAGAGATGACTTGGAAAGGTATACATTTATGCAAGTTACTAAAGCTTTTACTGTTTCTGTGTACTTTTTTCTCCAAGCTATTACATTACTGACACAATGATACAGAAAATGGAGGGAGCAGATTCTAAGGACTGAAATTCTTGTCTCAGTCATATAGCTTCATGCCACTACCTGTGCTGGAAGTCAGGCTGTACTGTAAGGTCTGCTGTGTTTTTTAACATGCAGCAAAATCCATGCTGCAAATTTGGCACTCTTTGGGCTCAGAATCTTTGCATCTTATTAGGGTAATGTTACAAAAGATGCTCTGCAGGGAGGAGACGTAGATTGCTGGATGCTGTGATCGACTGTCAAAGTGATGGATGCTGTCAGAAACATAGATGAAGAGAAGACAGTTTAAAGAAAAGGAAAAAGGAGCTTTGTTTCCTGTAATGAATAGATTTTCACACTATTCTTTAGCTCTTTCTTCTCCTCTTGCAGAGTCTCTACTTACGATCTTTTTCTCTCTTTTGATCATAACACTGTGTCCTTTAAAGATCTCTGCTTCCTTTCACACTACGTTGTCAGAGTGCACATCTACAGATGCTGTCAGTGTCTTCCTGCTCTGATCATACCTCGCAGCTCTTGCTCAGTTGTTGTCAGTCCATACTTTCTTTTCCAGATCCACAGTTTCCTTTGTTTCTTCTCTTTCCCCGCGTAGAGAAGCTTCATGCTTGCTGTGGGAAAGGACCATTTGTGTGACTGTGCAGTTTTACTCTCCATTTCACCTGCTCCACCAGTCTGTTTTGCCCTTTAAAGGATTCCTCTTGACAAGTTCTCTGACTTAAGCCCTTTGACAATTTAAGAGCATTTATGTTTCATTCCTACTCCTTGAAATGCTATTGCAATTTTTGCCCTTCTATCAGGGCCACAGTCCGTAGCTTACAGATGTCTTCCTTGTTACCATCTGATCTCTCCTTTTTGTTTTTTATTCCAAGATTTCTTCCTGAAAGATTTGGGTTTTGGTTTGGTTTTTTGTTTGGTTGGTTTTTTATTCTTTAAAAGCATTGCTGGACCATTCAGTTCTGTCATCCTTCACTGAGCCATGGGCAATGCTCTTTACAGCTTCCCTTGAGCATCTGGCGGAGGCTTTGGGACCCTGTTATCCCTTGCCCAGTCTGATTGCCCCAGTCTCCTCAAGTACTTCTAGAGCCTGAGACTTACAGATCTGGGGAGTCCGTGCCATTGTCACCCAGTGTGTTCACAACAAGAAGCTAAAATTAGTGTTTTTTTCTCACATAAGCATATGTAATTCCTTTGATTTATGAATTTATGATGGAAGTGAAAAGAGAACTGAAGTCATGGAAAACATTTTCCCAAACTACAGGGAAATACTATTTCTTTTTTGTTTGTAAGACAATGACTTGGGTAAAGTTTGTTTCTTTTTAAACAAACATTGCTTTTGCAAGGTGATTTCCCCCAGCTAAAATACGTGAAGCAAAAAGAGTTCAGCAACTTCATAGAACGTTGGACAGAACTTGTCTTGCATATAAGAGATTTTCAAAGACATCTTAAGTGTTTCTTCCTTGATAACTTCTAGAATCATAGAATCATTAAGGTTG